GTTCTAATATTGATAAGACAAACTCTGGTGTGGAATTATCTAAAGGTGGAGATCGATCAGAATCAAAAACTATAAATCATTCTATCTCATCAATACCAGGGAGTGATGTGCAAGCTAGAATGGAAAATTTACGAGAATATAAAAAACAGCTTCAAGCTGAATCTTGAAATCGTATCAATTCCTTTTCAAGATATTCTGCGTAATCAAGAGCTCTAATAAATTCCTTTTTAATAGTTGCTTTATTTTCTAGATTTTTCATACCTGATATGATTTGAATCTTGGAATGGAATTCTAGTCTGAGAAAGAAATCAATTTGTTTGTCAGAATCTATTATGTTTTTTTTTTTTTAGATCTTCAGTGAATGAATCAGAGACTTGGGACTCTTTTTCCTCATTAGATGCTGGCTCCTCTTTAGTATCGATCTTGATAGAAGAATCAAAAGTTTAATTTTTTGAATTATTATCCCGAATCACTGTTGTATAAAGACTTGATAAAACATTATCCTTGATTGGCTTAGTAAAGGTTAGAATAATATAAGATTTTCCATGAACTATCATTCGAAATTCATGTTTGTTTGTATCTAGAATTCCTTGAACTTTTCGAATCCATGGCGTTCCTAAACAAAGAAGGTAATCAGGTTTTCCATCATCAATAACAACAACATGTCCTGTTTCAGTAACCCATTTATTTTTATATTTTATAGATATTGGTACATCCTTATGTCCTCCTTCTAATTTCGTTATATGATCAGAATTATGTCTAAGGGAAAAATTTGGTGCCATTCCAAGATTCCATCCTAATGCCTCATTTAGTGCTTTATTCATAACAAGACATCCCGATGCTGTATCGACAAACCCATCTGGAATAATTATATCTTCAATTCTATACTGCATATATTCAAGTGATTCCACCCATTTATTTTTTGTGGATGGATCAATAATTTTTTTTCGCATTGCTGGAGATAATAATTCTAATAACTGATCATCCGATTCTGGAAAAAGGTTTGGCATAGTGACTTTTTCATTTTGTTTAGATTCTGTAACTAAAGATTTGCATGAAATTACTGATTTATTCTATGATGTCTTACTTATTGTTGGTGATATCTGTTTTTTTTTCTAAATAGGATGGAGGGGCATGCCATTGATTATCTTCCTCATTATACCCACCTTCATCCTCCTCACTATCATCTGAATTAGGAGGTGTGTATTGGAGATATATTGGCTTGAGAGATGTAAAATATGATCGAGTATAATTAAATTAGACCGTAGGTTGAATGGGGCATTTACCCTTGCTATGGCCTGTTTCTCCACAAATTTCACATTTCTTTATATACACTTTTTTCTGTAATTGGTCTGCTAACTGATTTATAGTATCTCGAGTTTCATTAAGCCCTTCTTCTATTCTATCCATTCTGACAAATTGGTTGGATCTTTGTGGTTTTTTATATAAGGCTTTTGCTTGCTCGAGGTATTTAAGGTAATCTGGATCTTGGGTAAGTGGATCCATATTATTACCTTCTTGATCTATTATGTAAAATGCTTGCTGAGGTTTTTCTGATTTTATAGGGTAAAACTTGGGTGGAGGTTGAAAATTTTCTACTGTTGCAACTTGTGGTTGTTGTGCTTGAAGTTCAGCCTTTAATTTTTCTATCTCAGCTTTAGATTCAGCTCGCTGTTTTGCAAATGCATCTTGAATCATTTTTTGTATATCAGCCATGGGAAGTGCTGGTTGTTGAGGTATAACATCTGGAATAGCAGGAGCAATAGGTGCATGGCGAGGTTGAGATGGTGCCTGTTGTAATATTCCATGACGTAATTCAAGTTCTGCCAAACTATCAATAATATCGTTAATAGGTTTTGTTTGACCAATTCTATAAATTTCATCTCTAATATTAGGTCTAACTCCAGATAAGAAATGAGTTTTCTTCTGTGCTGGAGTATAACCCAGTTGATCGCCATATTTCTGAATTTTTGCCCAGAATGAAGGTACACTCTCATATACGCCTTGTCTTAATGCTCCAATTTCTAACATCTTTACATATTTATTAGCAGTTGGATAATGTTTTTTTATCCACGAAAGCCTTTGTCCAAATTGTATTCCTGCTAGAATAATAGGAACACCTCCTCCAGCATTTGGTGCAACTGGTACTGCATTAGTTGGGCGTCCTCCTGCTATTGTCCAATCTTCAGCAACATTTCGAGCAGGGATAATTTGTGCACCTGTAAGTCCAAGTAGAACATTTGGGAAAGAAGCGACTGCACCCGTTATACCTCCTGCATTAGCACCACGAATATGTGCTATTGTTGCACCTATACCAGAGTTATCAAGTACATTTTCTAACTCCCAATTTTTATTATTAAATTCTCTATGATACCATTCTCTCACTTCTCTTTTTAAGGATCGATCTAATATAGTGAGAATATTTGCATCATTATTTACTCCAGCTAAGGTAATATATGATATGAACCTATCTACGAAATCTTCATGATCTTCTTCACTACTATGGAATTCTGGTTGTGCAAATCCTACGGGTAATGCCATCAGTTGATTTTGCTGATTATTTACTAATGCAAAATTTTGTTGCTGTAAATTTAAAATATTCTGATTTTGATTCAGAATTATTTGGCGTTCATTTTTAGTCTTATTCTTCCATTTTTTATACCGATCATATAGTTGATCTTGCCAAAATTCATCAAGAGCTCTTTCATTTCGACAGTTCTGTATTTGTATATGCTCATCCTTAGTTTTATTCTTCCATTTTATATATCTATCACATATTCGGTCTCGCCAATATTCATTAAATGCCCGTTCATTTTCTAATTGCTGCAATGCCTGATCTCGCTCCTGCTTATATATATCACGATTCCACTGTTCATTTACCAGATCTTGTTGCAGGTTAGCATATTTACGTCGAATTGATTTTGTTGATCTTTTAATTTGATTTGTTAAAACGGTTTTACATATTGTTATATCATTTAAGGATCTGTCTATAGCATCGGCCAATTCAGCTATTGTGCCTATATCTAAATCAAAAGTATAATTATCTTAAGAATTTTCATCAGAATTAGATTCATCTTCATTATAATTCCATGCTTGTGCATTTTCTAATGCCTCTCGTATATTTATAAGCTCTAATCTATCTCGATATCTTAATAATGCTAATGCAAAATTTTGACAAAGCAGGTCTGTAATACGATTTTTT